ACTTGAAATGCTGCCTATCATTGCATTATTTCACCAACCTCTAATAGTCTCTACTCCCTCTAACCCAACTTTATGCCATATTACCTAATGAATATACCTAAAGGTTTTTGTCATGTTGCTTCTCTGTTCCAGGACTGTGTAGGCGAGATGTTGGAGTGGGGGCAACCCACTTTACCTCTGCATGAGAATTTGGCATTTAGTTAGCTCTGGTTCCCTGTAACTTGGTATGAACTATGTGACTAAGAAGCATTCCTTACACCAGAATAATGCCTGCTTGCATCTGGATGTGAAGAACTATAGATGAATTGTCAATACTGGATAGGAAGCCATAGCTTTGGCCTCCCCTTCCTAGGGCCACTCTTGTAACTGTGGGGATTTTTGAAAGCAACTAGAATGGACCCCAACATTAAAAGTATTGTAATTTTTGAAATTTATTGTGAAATGGGATTTTAAAAAAATTGGCTCTTTGTGACTTTTCCTAACTTTTTATATATTTGTTGCTTCATGTGAAAAAAAAAAAAACACACCCTCAAAACTGAAATAATAAAAAGTTCCCCTCACTGATGAGTGAAGATAAATGGACAAATCTACAAATGGCTATCTACTTTTTGGAACATGAACATGCAATCATTCACAAATCGATAAATATCGTTCAATACTGCCATGATCCAACATGTGGGAATATGATTTATTTCCCTTTTTAAAAATATGTTAGTGTAAATATAGTTTTGATGTAATGTGATTTTTGTACTATAACGTTTATTTAGGTTTTTATGGTCACAATTATGCTTATAAAGCTCAAAACAAGGAATTTCCCAGTGTCCCCATGTCTTTCTTAGCCATGATTATTTTTCGTTTCAGTGTGTTGTTGTTCCTGGAAGCTATTTTGTCCCATAGGAGAGAAGGATGCTGGATTACAATGCGCTTCTGGCATCACCGCTGGCACCAATGGCGTTGTTGCCCTCCAGCTGGAGGTTCAGAGGGAGCCGTCTCATTGGGATGCTTTGGGGATAAGGCTTTCCCTTCCTGGGTTCTCTCGAATAGCTCGTTGGAAGAGAATCGTCCACGATACTTGCTTCTTAGGCAGGCTAAGGATCCAGTGTTCTTGGGACGTGAGGCTAAGAACCAGAGAGAGAAGGGGCTGTGCTCTCCTGAGACCGAACCCCATTATGTCAGTCAGTAAAGCGGAAGGACCTCAGGAAGGGGCCTGGGGGTCACTGACACTGGGGCTGAGTATGTAGTACTTCTAGGCCAGGGATGGCGAACCTTTTGAGCTCGGCGTGTCAGCATTTTGAAAAACCCTAACTTAACTCTGGTGCCGTGTCACATATAGAAATTTTTTGATATTTGCAACCATAGTAAAACAAAGACTTATATTTTTGATATTTATTTTATATATTTAAATGCCATTTAACAAAGTAAAATCAACCAAAAAAATGAGTTCGTGTGTCACCTCTGACACGCCATAGTGTCATAGATTCGCCATCACTGTTCTAGGGGTGATGCCAACTAGGGTTACATAACAATAGCAGCAAGGATACGTTTCTGACGTTTTCCAGACTGTCCCAGGACCAGCTCCGGGAAGGCGAGATGTAGCTATGCCAGAGAAGCAGTAACGACTCATCAGAGCACGAGACTTTGGGGGCTTCTTCTCACCAGACGCTGCCTGTTGTGCTGTTGGAAAAACAGTAAATTACTACCAGTGTTTTAGTGTCCAAGGTGTAACCTGAGGGACTTGTCAAAAGCGTAGTTTACCAAGAGATTCTGGTTTATTAGATTTGAAGTGAAGGCCAGGGAGTATGCATGTAAAAATAGAAAAAAATGGTTCAGGTGAATGCGATACAAAGATCCTGGGAAAACATAGTTGTCCTGCAAATGTCTTCTTAACTTCTGTTACTGCTTTTATATCGACCTTAGGCTGAAACTGACAACTAAGACTTCCTCATGCCACATGACTAGAGCGTGCTTCTATCATGAATGTTTGAATGAAGATCTTTCAAGGTTAGAATGCAGCTTAGCTGATATTTATGTCTAGTTGATGATCTGGTTTACATTATTTTATAGAAGTAGATACCCCTTTCCTTAAACGATAGATCAGGACCTGCAGGTAGAACCCGCTGGGAAGACTTGTGAGCCCCTTTCTTCACTGCACAGGCTTCCTCGGGGCACGGGGATTCTCCAGACGGAGAGGAGGGCAGCAGGGTGGTCCTGCCCTCTCCTCTGAGGGCTTCTTAAGCAACATTCCTTGGGATCAGAAAGCTTTAGGAAAACAAAAACATATTCTCACAGAAATCCCAGAGCCCCTAGGTGAGCCTGTGTGTAACAGCATGCTGCAAACCTCAAAGTCTAGAATTGGTGTTTTAAGAAAAACATGAGGGCATTAAACCTACAGTATTTTTTTTTTATCTTTCTTTGACATTAATCAGAATAAAAGTTATATTTTCCCATTCCCATTCCTTAGAGATCTGCTAGTTATCCAGAATTACTATAATATTCTACCAAGGAGCTATAAAAAATTATTGGCATTGAGGAATGGTGGTGGGAGCTGTTGGCAAATGTATCTCTGTACTCCCTTTAACTATTTATCCGTTCTCTCTCTCTCTCTCTCTCTCTCTCTCTCTCTATTTATCTATGTCTGTATCTTTCGTTCTCTCAATGACTTGCTTTGTTAGTATTCTCTCTTTGTGTGTTCCTTTGGGCTTTTAGCGGGTATGAGAAAAGCTAAAATGCATGCAAAAGAGAAGTAATTAACCTGTAATTTGAGGTGGTAAATACATTTTGTGTTTTGCCCTGGCCAGTAGCTCAGTTGGTTAGAGCTTTGTCCTGATGCACCACAGTTATGGGTTTGATCCCTGATCAGGGCACATACAAGAGTCAACCAATGGATTTTGAATAGGTGGAACAACAAATCTCTATCTCTATCTCCATCTCCATCTCCATCTCCATCTCTATCTCTCTCTCTCTCCCAGAATTGATAAATAAAATAAAAACATTTTGGTTTGCCCTTGGGCCACTTGGAACAGAAACCATACTCAGTGATTGACTTGCTTTCCCACAGTGTTGTGCTTCAGCAGTCCCCAGGGAGGCAGTGTGCAGGGGGAAGGTGTGTGTGCTCACATCCTGTGGTCAGGGCTCCCACACCTCTGAGCTTCAGGTTCTCATCTGTAGAATGTGGAGAATCCTTGTACTCAACTTTCAGCCTTGTGATGTGGCTTGAATGTAGTCCAGATAAGGACAATCTTTGGAATAAGTTTTCATAATTATTAACTTACTATGAGTATTATTTAGACCATGGCTAAAAAAAATGAACAGTTATTTATTGTAGGTGAGAGAAAATGATACAAACACTGGTCAAATGGACTGCAAAAGATTGTATAACTGGGATATGCAATGTGGGTGGACAAGCCTGGGAATTCCAAGTAGCTTAGACCTCCAGAAAATTGCCCTGGGCTGCTAACACCTAAGGGCTATGCTTCCTCCTTGTGGCTATTTAAAGCTTTTCTCATTTCCCAATTCATCCTAAAATAAACAGAGAAGGACTCAACCTGATAAAATCTAGGCTACATTTGGCTAATCTTGGGTTTAGCCAAATGAACAGACTATAAGCAAATCATGATTCAACTTCAAACCATTTAGAAAACACTCTATTTTTAAGTCAGATAGCCAGTTGGTAAGGATGTTGTTAGGGAGATAGAAGCATTGGATGGTGTTTGGAGGAGATAATTTTTTAATTTCACAGAGGAGGGAGAGTTAAAGCAAAGCAAACTGTCAAGTGAGGATTCAGGAGGCTTTGTAATAACACAGTATTTATCTGCAAGGCATGAGAAGGGGACAAGGGGTCTAAGCACTAAGACAACATTTTATTACAAATAAAACTTTTGATATGAATTTATTTTTCTTTTGCTATTAATACATGTTTTTAAAAACATTTAACTTCAGAGAAGAAAATGGAACTTGATATATTAATATGAAACTACTAATAGTTATCATTAGTTTGTGGTATCATGAAATTTTTGGTTTCTGTGGTTGGCCTGAATTCTCAAAAAATTAGCATGTAAGTTTTAAGTTAGGGATACTATGTTAACATTAAAAAAAAAAATTCAAACCTGTAAAGAATTGTTGTGAGTTTATTTGAGCCAAACTTTCGACAGTTGCCAGGAAGCAGGACCTCACCGTATTGGAATAATGCTCCAGAGAATGGCAGTGTTGTACCTTTTTTATACTTTATAATCAAAGGGGGAGAAGTAAGTGTGTTACATGAACCCCATTGGTGATAGATTAGGGAGGCGGGAGGAAGAAAAGCGGGTTGCGGGGGAACCTCTGGGCTTGGATAAAAAGTAAAATGATAGACATACTGCCAAAACATACTTCTTTTACTTAGGTAGGTGCAGGATAGTAAACAGTCAGCAATTAACTCAATACCAGTGAGGGGATTTGTGTTCTCCGTAGAGCGGTGTCTGTGCTTTGAGGGGTCCTGGAAAAGGAAGTTACTCCAAATTTGCCTGAAAGCTGTCACAGTGAAGGGAAACATCTACAATGGACGAAAAAGCAGTGGCTTTCGTGGAAATAATGTGTGGGCAATAACTGTTGGGATAAACCAATAAGAAAGAATGAAAAGTGGGGGCAGTAACCAAAGTCCTAGTTCAAAATAATGTTACAAAGCATATCAGTAACATTATTTTTTTTTGAAATATGGATTACTAGGAAACCTGGGAAGTGTGTTATTTAATAAACATAGGTATTTGAAAGTTGTGATTTTAGAGTCACGATCTGGATTCCACAAGCCATTCATCAAAGCAAATGTTCCTGTGGCCCTTCAGTATCTTTTATTGGGTTTTTAGGAAAACTTGGTAAAGACCTTGAGTGGAGCACACCTTTAATAAATAGACCGATTATTGGTATTATTGACTTAGTGTACAAATCATCAAAAGAAAACAAATCCTGTCTCAGAGAACTTTAAAAGCAAATCTCTCAAAACAATATTGCAGCCCCTCTCTTCCTCGGCGCTGCCTGCGGAGGTGGCAGCCATCTCCTACTCGGCATCATGGCTGCCCTCAGACCCCTGGTGAAACCCAAGATGGTCAGAAAGAGGACCGAGAAGTTCATCCAGCACCAGTCAGACCGGTATGTCAACATTAAGCGGAACTGGCAGTAACCCAGAGGCACTGACAATAGGGTGCGTAGAAGATTCAAGGGCCAGACCTTGATGCCCAACACAGGTTATGGGAGCAACAAGAAAACAAAGCACATGCTGCCCAGTGGCTTTCGGGAATTTCTGGTCCATAACGTCAAGGAGCTTGAAGTGCTGCTGATGAGCAATAAATCTCACTGTGCTGAGACTGCTCACAGCGTCTCCTCAAAGAACCGTGAAGCCATTGTGGAAAGAGCAGCCCAGCTGGCCATCAGAGTCACCAATCCCAATGCCAGGCTGCACAGCGAAGAAAACGAATAGACAGATTGTGGACACGTTGTATTTGTGTTACTAAAATCATAAAATTCTGCCATCTTGGAAAAAAAAACAAAAAACAATATTGCAGCAAGGTACATACTTGTAAGCCACGCCTGAAAACAGGCGGGGTATAGCAAGTCTTGTCCCTGGTTTTTGTCGCATTAGGTGCCATTAGAACTGACTTGGGACACACGGGGCCAAAGAACTCAGATGGGTAGAGCACAGTGCCAAAAAGTGTGTGCTTGGCATCGTCAACGGTTGCTAACCTCTCTCACTTGCTGTCTCAGGAGTCACAGGGTTTTGTCAGGAATCAGGGCTGTTAGCCACTGTGAGAACACCTCAAGGGTTGGAAGCTCAAAATCGGGCAATGTTTTTTGAGTCCTGAAAATTCCTTTTTAATGAAAAGAAAACTTCATCAAGAATTCTAACAAGAATGTTATATAGGAAGACTAGCTATGAATTTTTACTTTCTCTAGTTCAAGTTCAGTTCAATATTTAACCACGCCAGAGGGTATGAAGAAGGGAGCTGGAGAATCAAACACTGTGAATGAAGTCTTATGAGAAAAGTGAGCACACAGCAATGCTGCTAAATAATAGATTTAACAGAATTTCAAGTAAGTATAGGCCAGGATGGAAAACCCTCAGTAACACCTCAGAAGTCATCAAAATTCCCCTCTCCTTGTTCCTAAACCTCCTCAAGAGGTGTAAGGAAAAAATGTTTAATGTATCTAAAAATATTCATGCCACACATTTAACTTATATTTTTCCTTTTCTTTTCAAGGACTGTTTCTAGTGAAAAACAAAACATTTTAATGAGAAGGAATAAATGAAGAAGCACAAAATTATGTATGGACGCTGCATAAAATACAAATGAAGCTTAGATTATGTTAGTTATCTCTTGCTGCACAACAAGTTATTCCAAAACTTGGTCACTTAAAACAACAGTTCTTTTGAGGTTTCAGTAATGCAGGAGCAGCTTAGCTGGGTTGCTCTGGTGCAGGTCACTCACGAGATCCCAGCCAAGCTCTCGCCTGGGGTCGCAGTTGTGGCAAGGTCTGTGCGGGCTGAAGCCTCTGCCCCTAGCTCATTCCCAGGGGCCTCATCACATGGACCCCTCCACAGGGATGTTCACGGCGTGGCGGCTTGTGACTCCAGAGGGAGAGAACAGGAAAGGCCGAGCGTATTACTCTATCATGTATGTGCCAAAGTGGCATTCTCTCGGTCCTGCCTCATTGACTGACCATGCTTACTTTTAAAATAAAGCCACTTCTGACTTTGTCAAGCACTCACAGACCCTAAGTGCAAGAACCCATTAGTGAGGTGGTAGGACGCTAGCAGAGAGTTTCAGAGGAAGCGTCAGGAGTGGTGCTGGAACACTGTGGAAGGAGACTACACAGGGGTAGGGATTACATAGTCAGACCTGCAGATATTCTTTAAACCAGCCCAATGTGAGATTCTCAATATTTTCTGCATTGGTAGATTAGTAATTAGTAGATTTGATAAAGACCTGTTTTTCCTTGTCACATTGTACCTCAAGATGCCATATGGATTGGGCTGTAGAATATGGGTTGGTGAACTGTAGAATTTTTTGGCCTGAGTCTCTTGAAGGTAGAGATGTAGAAGGGCAAACAAGACCACAAGGAGCCTGGCTGCGAACCGCAAGCCACATTTGGATACCTTTGTGGTTTCAGGAGGTTCTGGTGTGCTGAGCAAAGGAACCTCTGAATGAATCTGCGTGGGTAGAAACAGCACCAGAAGCAGCAGCCCCACCATCCCCATGCCCCTTGGTCACCGCACCTTGGCTTGGGCCGGCCACTTGGTGTGCTGGAGGATCTCGGGCTCTCGCATGGTGCGGGGGAAATAACTAGCAGGGTCTTAAATCAGGAGGCATCATAATGGCAGTGATGTGGCATGACCCGCCCACCTGTCCTCACCACTGCCCACCCCCAATCAAATAATTTGCTTTCGAAGCAAAATATTTCAGTTATTTAGAGTGCTTGAACCCTAGCCTATATAATAAAAGGCTAATATGCAAATCAACTGAATGGCAGAATGACCAGTCGCTATGACACGCACTGACCACCAGGGGGCAGACGCTCAACTCAGGAGCTGCCCCTGGTGGTCAGTGTGCTCCCACAGGGGGAGTGCTGCTAAGCCGGAAGCCGAACTCAGGGCCAGGGGGCACATGTGGAGCATGGCAAGCATTGGCAGAACATGGAACATGGTGGACAGCGGCGGCGGCGGGGTGGTGGAGCAGGTGAGCCGGGGCGTCAGACCAAGGTGGGGCGCCGGTCACTGTCATCAGGGCGAGCCTCTGGTGGTTACTGAAAATTCTTGGCTCCTGCACCCCGCAGTCCTGCTCGGCGCTCACACTTGCTGCCAGCCCCGCTCACACCCACTGCTGGTGCTGGAGTCACCATTTGCACCTGCTTCCGGCACCCAGCACCAGCCCAGATCACTTGGCGCCATCAGTGGGTGTGAGCAGTGGCTGCGAGCCCCGTTCGCCCCTCAGGACTTCTCCACTCACCCCGCTCCTGAGGGGCAATCAGGGTCCATAGCTACCCCTCACACCCGCTGCCAGTGATGGCCCTGCTCGCACCCACTGCCCCAGAGCTGCCTCTTGCACCCACTGCCGGTGTCAGTCTCACTCACACCCACTGCTGGCGCCCAGTGCCAGTCCCGATTGCTCAGCGCTGTCAGCAGGTGTGAGTGGCAGCTGCCGGCCCTGATCGCCCCTGAGAGCTTCTCCACCTCCCTCTGTTCCTGAGGGGTGATCAGGCAGTAGCTGCCGCTTGCACCTGCTGCTGGCGCTGGCCCCAATTGTTCCGTGCTGTCAGTGTATGGGAGTGGCAGCGGCGGCGGAAGCGGGGCTGCTGGCAGAGAGGGACCGGGGCCGTGGCAGGAGGGGTCAGGTGGGGGCGCAGAGGATGGGCCTTTCATGGTGCACAAATTCATGCACTGGGCCCCTAGTAGTGTATATTAGTAAGTATAATTGACATAAAATAATAGTGATTTCAGGGGTTGCTAGTCCTCCACCCATTTTTCCCATGTGTCAAAATACTTGATCTTGTGTGAAGTACCAGGAAGCGCAGGTGCAGGGAGGCACAGGGGTTTCCTTATTACGACCCCTTTTTTCTGCAGCACAACTCCCTGGTGCTTTCTTTGCAACTCCCTGCTATCGCCTCACTAATGGGTTCTTGCACTTAAGGTCTTTGAGTCCACTTGCCAAAGTCAGAGGTGGCTTTTCTGGAAAAGAACCAACATTTTAAAAGTAAGCAATAGAACTGAGGTTTCAGAACAAGACACTCAGATCAATTGGTGTGTTGTTTTATGCCCCTTTAATCTATGCCCTGAACAAAAGGTAACACCATTCACACGTTATTACAAGGTGTTTTAGCTTTCTGCTTGTTGCCATTTTTTTTCTCCCCTCCTCCTCTTCTTCCTTCTCCTTCTTCTTTTTAGATATTTGATAAGAAATCAATATCTCCTCTAGCTTTGGAGGAGTGAACACAGGAGTTTTACATAAAACAGATACTGTTTTTGTTTGTTTGTTTTTTAAAGAAGCTGTTTTGACCATTTTTATAATCTCCTTTGGAGCAGAAATGTGGACTGTAGTGAGATCCAATTAGACACAACTTTACTTCACTTCATTTCTTAGCAGCATCAAACAGCAAGCCGGGGCATTGGGAGGCTGGGTGAAAGGGGAAGGGATTAAGAAGAACAAATTGGTAGTCACAAAATAGACATGGGTGTAAAATACAGCAGAAGGAATATAGTCAATAATATTGTAACAACTATGTATGGTGCCAGGTGGGTATTGGAATTCTTGGGAAGGATTAAAAAAAGAAGGAAAGAAAGAAAGAAAAACAGCAAACTGCCCGGGTTGAGAACATGGCCAGATTTCTGATGGAAACTTGGTAAGAAGTAAATGTGTACTGGATACAGCACATGGAACTTATTTTTGGGAAAGGCTAGATCTTGTTGACACCTACTTTAACAGCTACCAGACACAATTGACTAATTCCATTTGCTTTTTCTCCAGAGGAGAAAAATATCAATCCTAAGATGAAGATTAGGGGACTTCAAATCGAAGGGAAATTGGCCAAGGGACCACCATATAATGTCTGCTCTGTCCATCTGTACTGCATATGACAGTATCCATGGCATTTTCTTTTCTTTAAATTTATCTTTATTGTTGAAAGTATTACAGATGTCCCCCTTTTTTCCCATTGACCCCCTCCTTCCCTACCCGGACCCCTCTCCCCAGGCCCTCACCAAACTATTGTCTGTATCCTTGGGCTATACATATATGCCCGTAAGTTCTCCAGTTAATCTCTCCCCATCCACCCACACACCCACTCCCACCTTCCCTCTGAGATTTGTCAGTCAATTCTGTGCTCTATGTCTCTGAATCTAATTTGGTCATCAGATCATTTTGTTCATTAGATTCCACAATGAGTGAGATTATGTGATACTTGTCTTTCTCTGACTGGCTTATTTCACTTTGCATAATGCTCTCCAGGACCTTCCATGCTGTCTCAAAGATCTTTCTTTTTTGCTGCTGCACAGTATTCCATGGTATAAATAAAAAGGGAGCCCACTGTATGGGAGAATGTATTTGCCAGCGATACATCTGATAAAGGGCTAATATCAACGACATATAAGGGACTCATACAACTTAACAAAAGGAAGACAAACATCCAATTACAAAGTAGGCAAAGGATCTGAATAGACACTTCTCCAAAGTGGACATACAGATGGCCCAGAGACATGAAAAAAATCCTCAAAGTCACATGTAAGAAACTTCGCCTTTTCACTTTGGAAGTCATTTGTTATTTATTATTATTATTATTAGAAAGGTTAAAATAGATGGGCGTGATGAGCAGGGTTTAAAGGCTGAAAACACTGCGCCACAGCCCAGCTCATCCGTTGTCCGGGGAAGGAGCAAGTCCCTCAGACTCTCTGATGAGCCTCAGTTTCTTCATATTTGAGCTATAAGGATGATAATAGCACTTAGTGATGGGTTGTCCCATGAATTAAATGAAAACATTTTGTATA